GCCGATTCTTGAGAGAATGGACGCCAACTTGTGGTTCTACCTGGTCCAAAGACCTGTTACTCGCAGTAGTGCCGATACGAGGTCTTACATTATCGAAAGATCAGTATAAACTCTTGTATGCTCTTGAGTGCCATGCGAATCTTACTCCCAACTACGAGGTACGTTTTCTTTTATACAAGATATCACATAAGTATTCCATTTGTACAATAAATGTCTAGCTTTGTAGAAGAGTGGAAAATGAATAGCTGAATCTTTTAAATAATATTATTTGTTGCTTTATAAACCACTCAACAAATCGACGCTAAAAGAACCAAATTGAAGGTAACTTTTTAGCACTGATTTTAAATGATCCTTTAATTTTGTTGAGTAGTGTATAAAGCAATAAATATTATTTTAAAAATTCAGCTATTCACTATATATCTTAGTCAAAGAATGTGATTAACATAGTTCTACGCCCATAATTTATATATGTAGTTCAAGTTATCTTGTTTAGTCTATTATGACTCCTTACAATTTCTTCATGTAATATTTATAAAAAAAATATCGTATAAAGTATAAAATAAAGCATCTTATAACATGCGTTCTTCAATTTTGCCATAGATCGACTTGCTCAAGAGAAACGTAGTCAATCTTCCCAGCGAGGAGCAAATGGAACTCATGAGACGCACTTGCGGCGTCTTTAATACAAATTCGTTCGAAGTTGTGGTTGTACCTTCACGGGACAAGGACTATACCACGAGTTTACGTGGTCTTTATCTAATGGGAGCATTACAGAATCATTGTTGCGTGCCAAATACCAGGCATCACTTCGACGATCAGCAACGGTTGTACGTGAGCGCCGTGCTGCCTATTGCCGCTGGCGAAGAGATCACCATGTCCTATACCGATCTGCTTTGGGATACATCGAGCAGAAGGCAGTTCTTAAAAGTCACCAAACGTTTCTCCTGCAATTGCAATAGGTGCTCCGATCCTCTGGTATGTCAATACTGCGACAATATCTCGCAACAAAAATTTATGCGAGACATTCTTATTTCTCCTAGGAATTCGGTTCTCAACTCGGCGCGCTTCTCTGCGCGAGGGACAGTTGTTCAGGATGCTTGTTACCTTTTAATCCTCTCAATCGTGAATCATTCTGGATTTGTCATAAGTGCCAAACCAGCGTGAATTACAGACAGGTGGTATCTAAGAACTGAAATATAACGCTACATTTTTATATGTAAAAATAATTGAAGTAATCTATAACGACTCTTTCTCTATGAAGGATAATGTTTTTTATATAATTATTGATTTTAGGAAATATAGTATTTGCATATATTGATAAGATTCGCGCACATTTGAATTTGTATGAGCATATGATTAAAATCACAATATTTCGACAATACCAAAGTCTATTCTGATTTCTTCTATGAATGTGAATTTCGTTGCTTTACAGATCGAATGTATTCATTCAGGATTGAACACATTTGTATCTGATGCTATGTATAAAACTCCGCGAGAAATTCTAAGATTTACAGAAGCAGTACTATCGAGATTGATACCTGCCACTAATTATATCATGATGAATATCAAATATCGTATAATATCTTACTTTGGCAGAGTTCCCGATCTTAAATGGGAAGGTAAGATGTACATAATATTCCATAAATATTATTGTGAAGTATTTTATAGAAGCCTTTTACCTTTATGTTGCTTAATACATGCGTACATCATAGTGAAATGTATTTTGCAGATCTCACGGATACAGAACTTAGAATTAAAAAGATGTATTGTGACGATATACTTTCTGCTTTAGACACTTTGGGTTCTGGAGATTCTATTAAAAAAGGTAATATAATATGATGTAAGAAATGTTTCTCTTTTATATATTAAATTTTATATATATATATATATATAACATTGTTACTGTGAACAAAAACGAGATGGACAGGATAGGAAAGATCGGAATGAAGATTGTGTTCTTTTTTCTATTAAAAGGATATTCTATAATAATGTCAACGTAATATGTTATTAACTTATTCATGTCAAAAGGAGACATAGTTTCAGAAAAAATATATATAATATATATTTTAGTATATATTTTATAATAAAGTAAGTTAAAAAAAAATGAAATTTTTAATGTATTTCTAATATATTCCAGGTCTTGTTTTATACGAATTGTATCGTACAAATCTTGAATTGTTTAAACGCCAGATTTCTGATAACGATGAACAGACATATCTGCACATAAAAGTACGACGAATAATCTATGTTTATTATATTTATCCTAATTATTATTTTAAATCTTTTTTTTTTAGAATGGCGATAATGAACAACTGTTAAGAGAGGCAATGAGTATATTACAAAACGATGTTGGCGCAGCCTGTGTTCGCAAAAGCGATTAATTAACAAACGACTATTTTGACACTGTTCCTATTTATTACCGATATTTGTAAATGTGTACATACATTACGAGAAAGCAAAGAATGCGTCTACATTACAACTTTCACAATTTAATTATTTGACACTGTATTTTTAAATTCGTGCACTATACATTGCATATAATAAAAAAATTGTTTTATGTATATATATATATACATATATATATATATATATCACGAGATTTAAAATGTGTGAAGATTCATTGACGAACTTTGCCAAAATAAAAATGCACATTTTTAGACATAAATTATATTCAAATAATGATTAGCAATTATAAGTCATGATAAGATAAGATTTGTTGACTACGTTTGACAACTACGTTGTTTGATTTGTTTATACGGCTTAATTTACGCCGAAGTTATAACATCAATGTTATGAAACTGGCCAATCATAGCTATTCTTCTGAACAATGGAATGACTGTGATTGACCAGTTTCCTAATATCGATGTTATAACTTCGGCGTAAATCGGTCCGTGTAAACGTAGTCAATGTGAAATAAAGTAAACAGTATATATATATATGTGTCTATACACACGTACGCCCGCCCGCCCGCACGCATGCACGCACGCACGCACGCACTAGGGCAATATAGATAGCGCGAATGACAAGAGGGTGTTACTTTGCAACAAAATAAAATATAAAAGTTTTTTAAATACAAACCTTCATTTTTAGAACATGATTTTGAAATTTAATAGCATATTTGTGCTTCTTGTATATTTCTTCAACGATTTCGTGTTTTTAAATTTGTCTCGATAACGAATATTAATACATAATGTACATTCTATAATAAAATAATGTAATTTTTTGTAGAATCTTTTGCTGCTTGTACTGTGTATCCCACACATTTTATACATATAATATACTTTATATATATAAATACAAGAAAACAGTGACTATTCATAATTTTATGTACAAATCTTATTATTTTTTCATATCACTTGCTGTAATAAACATTTCGCTTCTTCGTACAAAGTAGTACTTGGCTTCAATGTTTCCCAATCATAGTCCACGTCTTCATCGTAACTTGCATTATTATTTCTACAAAATTTGATTCTATTAATAATATTACACGTTAAAGTTTATAATGTAACTATTGATATTTATAACGCTTTTTAAAGCAATTTTTTTCTTAAATATAAGAATAATTTAAAACCTTACCTATACAAAGTATCATCTACAGAATGCATTGCACCATTACCTAAATCTTGAAGTAACCGATTTCGTGCAAGTGCTGTGTGCATTAGTGCAATATCATTCAGCAAAAATTCTTTATGATCTATAAAAAAAAGGATGTAAAAATTAATTATATGCACAGAGACCCATTTCTGATTTTAACGAAACTATTGAAACTCACCGTTCTTCTCATACTTTTTTACCAGCTTTTTCATGAAATCTTCGCCCGCATATTTCTTAGATATACCGATTCTATAGAAGATAGCTTTACACTGCCATCGATTCTCCGCAGAGTCTTGATTGGACGGAACAATTCTCCTCGCTTGTGTTTCCTTCACAAGAGATTCCCAATCGACTCCTAAGGCATCACCTAGTCCTTTTCCGCTCGTTTTGATGTCCTCCTCTAACTCACCATCAGAAATTTCTTCAAAATCCATAGTCTCCATATTATCGTCTTCCATATTCCTAATACCATAAAGAGAGCCAGATATAAAATTTGATGTTTTAGATATAAAATTAGAGTTTTCGCATAAATAAAGCAATCTGAAGCAAAAGAAATTAATTTTTTTTTAAAGATAATCGCATATTTTTTCGTTACAAACTACGAACTTTATATCAAATAATTTCTTTCACAGAAACGTTTTATCTTTTATAATTAACATTTTATAATCTATATATCTTACTTCAATGATACTGTATCAGCATTATCCTTAGATTTTGAACTGAAAATAGTTTCTTCTGCAGGTTCTTTCGGAGATAATTGAGCTGGCTCTTGTACTGTTGACTGTACATCACGGTGAGCAGCATCTGATGCTTTCTTATTTGTCCGTGTTTTATTAGTTTCCATATCCTGTTGAAAAATTATATATAAAAGTGTGAGCATCGCATTTTGAAATAAAAATAAAAAAAATAAAAGTATAGGATATGTACTGTAGTATCTTCTTCCATGTTTAATATATCATCAGGATCATCGCTAATATCACTCAAATCGCTTTCGGTATGAAGAGTCTGTAAAGATTCATCGGCAATGGGACGCTTTGGTTCCACCGCGACAGGTTCCTTTATTTCGGGTTTATCTTTTTGCTGATTCTTCTTTTGAAAGTTATCCGTGGACTTTTCTCTAGTAGTTGTGCACAATCTACCTTCAGCAAGTTCCATCAACTTCTTGTTGATAGGTTCTTCTTTCATGCTACCATAAATAGCAGCTTGCTTAGCAGAAGAATGAATCACTGGCTCTTCTCTTGTTTCTGGCGCATTGTATGATCGTCTTTTACTATAAGAATTATTTTTATTTAACATGCTCTAACTAATATAATACAGACATATACATACTATAATTTTCATTTTAATCATGTAAGACTTTATGTTTACCTATGTTGCGTAGATTCTCCGTGCTCCAAGTCCTTCGTGCGCTCGTTTCTGTAATGCGATCGAACGTGAACGTTTTGATTATCCCATTTTCGTGTATCATTAGACTTCCAGTCGCTTATAGTATTGTCATATCTGGAATTCCACTCGTCATCATGTATTTCCGAACGAGGAAGACTATCTCTGCTTTCCCATAATGGTCTAGTGCGCCATTCCCTTTCCTCCCATTCTACCGTCTGATAATTACGGTCTCGACCGTGTTCCACATCACGGTGATGTCCCTCCCAATTATCATTAGAAACAGTTTCATCTCTAAAATAGAAAATATATATAAATAATAATGAAAAAAGATGAAACTTTAGTGATGATTTGAAGAAAAAAAACATAAAAGTTTATAATTATAAGATATGATTTCACAATATATAATATCTTTTATAATATCTTTGTTTCAGTTTTGAAAAGTTATCCGTTAAGATAGAATAATACACTATCTTAATAAAAGAATAACATCAAAAATGTAATTCAATATTATCTCGAATTGATCTTCAAAAAGCAAAAGAATAATATTTCTTCAGTTCATATTAATACGTTAATTATTACCTGATATTCGCTCCACCACTTCTCAACTTATCGCTAGGATACAGAGGATGTCGATGATGATGATGATGATGACGATGATCATCGAAGGATGGTCGCTCTGTAGTTTGGATCACATATCTCGCCTCTCTGGATCTCTCGTCGCGAGCAACGCGTCTCTCTTCAAAGGGACTATCAAACCTTCTACCCTCAATAGTCTTTCTTCTGTCATCCTCGTGAATGTGAGCGTGATCTCGATACTCAACGTGTGGAGCTGATTCTTCCTGCTCGTCCCAGTGCTCCGGCAATCTGCCGTAGTTCCTACCAAAGTTTCTGTCCACCTCCATGGTGCGTCGCGGACTGTTTGCATCTCGACGATCCACTATCCGGTTGATTTTGCTCGGAACGCGATTCGATTCAATTCGTGCCTGATCCTTCCTACTGTTATGCTCCGACGTGTGACCCCGTTCATATCTCACGCCGAACCTTCTGTGCCTGTCCCTATCGTAGTGATTGTCCACCATGTCTATAAGATGATCGCGAGATGATAGAGCGGGTGTCACAGCTACTACTGATGAGGAAGATGAAGCCGAAGGTACGGGCGGTAACGTCGCTGTTGACTGAACGCTCGACGACGGCGCGGCGTGTCCACTCTTTTCGTGCAAGGATACACGATCTAAAGACGTTTCCCGAAAACGATCCATGCGATCCCGGGGTGAATTGACAGTCGATTTACTACGACTTAACGATACGTCTTTTTCGACAACGGTACTTCTTTCGTATCTTCCATCCAGTCGGGACTGCGTGGAACTCCGTTCACGCTCGGCGAGAGCTTTTGTTTCAGATCGTTCCCGTTCGCGTTCGCTCCTGTTTCGCTCGCGTGTCCCGCCGCTCTTCTCAAACGACACATCCTTACCTAGAGGTCGTTCCTTGATTCTGTTATTGTAACGTGAACTCTTATCCGCCGATAGGTTCAATGTCGCGGGTGAAATTACTGTAGACACGTCCCTTTCTCGTGGCTTCATAGACTTCTCTCTTTCTCGGTCGCGATCGCGATCTCGTATTTCACGATCTCTTTCTCGCTCACGATCGCGTTCTCGTTCTCGTTCGCGATCTCTATCTCTCTCTCTGTCGCGTTCTCGTTCTCTTTCTCGATCCCGGTCCCGATCACGATCACGCTCGCGTTGCCTTTCATTACGACAACGCTCCTGAGATTCATCCTTATCCTTGTCGCGTTGAGGTTCTTGGCGCTGATCACGAGTTAGTCTCGAGGGGCGCTCGTCTCTCATCTCCTTCTCGCGCTGACGCTCACGGCTTTTCTGTCGCGTCTTATCACCGCCGTAAGTCTTATCATCAAAGTTGTCCTTATTCGTGTTGTTCCTTCGATAGCTGTCGTCTTGATTCGAAGTCATTGTCTGTTTTGTTTTACCAGAAGACGTCTGCTCGTTTTTTTTCGTATCATCTCGTTCTTTGCTTTTATCTCTCTTGTGCAAGTCGCGATCTTTCTTCTCCGCATCTCTCACGCGACTCGACGAATTGCCTTGCTTCTCCGTATTCTTCGCCGGGGTAACATCACGTCTCCTCGATGGCGTTCGACTACGTTGTACTTTTGATGACGCATTCTCTTTAATGTGCTGGTACTTGGATGATCGTTCCGATGACGACGGCGGTGGCGGCGGTGTACGTGAACGCACGTCCTTCTCCTTGTACTTGGACCTCAACCGATCGTCTGATTTGGTTTTTTCATCAACAGTGCGGTTCTTTTCTTTCTCCTGTTCTTTGATTTTATCGAATGACTTGCACTTGACAGCGTCCTTGGACAGACACTCGTCCATATCACGCACCTTTTTGTAATGCCTGCCGTCCTCCTTGTCCATTTCTCGATTCTTTACCGCTTTCGGCGATTCGCTCCTGTTTCTTTCCCGGATTTTGCTGGATGATGCGTGATGCGCCACAGAAATCTGCGAGCCCAACGTTGCGG